TACTCGAGCTCTCCGACAATGACCTTCGAGCTGATTGGCCGAAGAAAAGCGATCCTATCCTCATTGCGGCCGGTGGTGGAAGCCTGAGAAGCCATTTGAATATTTAGAGTGCAAAGGATTTGGGAAAGTAGAGAGAGACAAGCGTGGAAGCTTTAGAGTAAGAGTTTGTGAAGAAAATTCTTGTGCGCCCCCAGTAGGCTATTTATAGCATTCAAGAGGGACACGTGGATTAGTCTGGACTGGCAGCTCATTTCAAAGTGAATGGGTGAGATTCACCTTGAAATCTCAAACGTTTCACACGAAACTTGAAGCCCCCCTACTCTGTGTGTCTTCACTCGAAAATCGAAGCAACGCCATAACTCTCTGACAACTGACAGCGTCATCACATCGTTTCTAACAGTGATGTTTCACCTGCCTAATAAAGGCTTTTGAAAACTCACTAAACGACATCTATTCGACGAACAGAGTCGATCCTTGATAGCCGATAATGAACTTCAAAGAGTATCTCTCAGGCACTCTCCCAAGAAGATCAGATGCCAACTAGCTAATGTAGTCGACCAGATTGATTCTATACTTAGACAAAAAAAACTAACACATTAGAAGTGGCTACTCGAGTTCGAGACGTATCTTCTCAACGAAGGACAAGCCCCTCGAGTTAGCAATTTAAGTCTATGATGGAGCTAAGTCATTCAAAAGATAAATTGAGATTGCACAGCACATGACAAGCAATTTCAGGCTCAAAAAATTTATTTATTCATTTATAAGGAATATTTAGAAGATACAAAGTACACATCTATACAACACAGGAACGAGAGATAAGAAAGTCCTAGGAGACTAAGAGAAGTCAATTCCCGCTCCTGGAGTCGCTGGCGGGGAACCCCTGGGAGCAGCCGCCAGAGGAGTCGAGCAGTCTCCTCTTTCGTTCGATTCTCCCTCTCCTTCATCAAGATCGAGCCCCCTCCAAGCGCTTCCACCTCCATTAACTCATCCACGCACTTGGCTACGATAGGCGGATAATGGAAGCGGTGGAGCGGGTTCCTCATCTCGACTGAGAGCTGTACCAAGAGGTAATCATATCCTACATTGCAGGCGTTGCTACTTCAGTATTCCCAGTTAAGCTTTGGCGATACCCCTCAATGATCCCCTAGCGGTGAGGCTCAGACTCCATATAGGCATTTCGGCTTTGGGCCACCGCCAGAGACTCCCGCAAGTGGGCAACCTCCCCCTGAAGCCTGGCAAACGTTGCATGCTCCTCGTCTAGTTGACGCCTCGCATGTGTTGCTGCCTCATTCTCGACCCCAACCAGCACCATAGTGTGGTTCTCTATGGAGAGCCTCGTCTAGTCTCCTGGCATTTCTCTTGCTCTCCTCCAGCTCATTCCTGAGCTCGTCAACCTCAGAAGCACTTGGGGCTGGCGTCTCTGCGGCCCGTTCCAAGTCGACCCCTCTATCGGCTCTCAAAGAAGTTACCTCTCCAAGGAGCTTGAGATATGCAGTCCAAACCCGATCCATCCGACGGTATAACTCCGTCTCCACCAAAGCGCCTCGAACAAAGTAACTGTGAAGGCTATGGTGGAGATCGATATCAGGGACCCCTTACAAATACCCCTCATCTTGAGGGAGCCAAAATTGCTCGACCGCCTTCTGTTGAGTCCGACGAGAGCCCGGGACAGTCCCCCTAACGTCGAGGTGGTGATTAGGCTCGAAGCAGTGCTCCGGGTCAGGCTCCTGTTCATATCAAGAGCCGGCCCTTGAGAGCCCGATGAGGTACTTCCTCATCTTCTCTCATTCTTCCTCTCCGATGTCGGCGACCCAGTAAGGAAAGGGATATTCTAGCCCTACGGGAGGCACTATCTCCTCCTCGACCGGGTTCTTCCCCCGACGAGTCGACTCGCCGTGGAAACCGGACGACTTTCCCTGCCCAGCAAAAGCCCAGGCGTCGGCTCCCTCTTCTTGAGGAGCCTCGACTAGTTCTCTTGAGGCCGACTCGTCCAGGCGAATGACGTCGGCCTCGGCCATCTCGACTACTATGTGAAGTACCTATTCCACATCCCTCTGTCTCCGTCTATGGACGAGGGAGGGAGCAGGCTCCTCCTCGGTCATCTCGGCCTCTATTGGAGGAATGTCCCGGGGAGGATGCTTCATGGGCCTAGCAGACAACCCCTTATGGGGAGCAGCCAAATAAACAGTAGGCGTCGTCGCCGCTCCTACTGTCCCCACAACAAGGGCGGAGCCCTCTCATGATCCTGATTAGAAGGAGGCACAACCGATATACCGACAACTCACAAGACCGAGCTGTCAAGTAGGTGGTCGACTCGACGAGAGCCAGTGTATGCCTTGATCTGGTCAAGCGCATCCCTCTCGACCTCAAGCAAGTCACCCTCCATGAGTGCCTCCCTCTTTATTTTGGGCCAGTTTGAGCAGCCCAACTCTAGGTCGTCCCCTACTACCCAAACGAACTTCTTCTTCCAGACCTTGTGCAAGTCTGGAAGGCCGGTGATGAGCCTGAACTTCCCCACCATTTGAAAGTGGAAGTGGGGCTCAGTCTGATTCACCTTCACAGCCACCAACCAGCCTAGGACCCGCAAGGATGGCTTTATCGCCAGCCAGTGGCAGATCACCACTAACCCCACCAGGATAGCGATGGCGTTCGGCTTCATCTGCGCTGGCGATACCTATAGCGTCGTGAATACTTGCTAGAGGAAGGGGTGCAGGGGCAGCCATAGACCACATTCCAAATGCCTCAGATATAGCAGGTCTCGTTCCAGTCCATGATCGAAGATAGCCTTCGACCTCGTCGGGGCCATCAGATCATACTCCTTGAGGATGTCAAACCTCCTAGAGAGCATCCTCATTTGGGACTGCGTCACTTTGGAGTGGATCCCCGCAAGGAGAGCTCGACAATCCACAGACTCAGATGCCATCGGAGACTGCAAAGATGATTGCCGGAAGAGATGAGCAGAAAAAATTCAAAGTTCTCTAAAGGAAATTTGAAAAAGCAGTAACTGCCATCTCTCTAGCTTTGGTTCTATATATAGGCAGCTGACTTTACAACTGTCGGGATCAAAACCGTCGGATCACATTCCATCCAACAGCCAAAATTAATTTTTAAAATTCAAAGCGTCATCTCCCGAATTGCGGTGCAACCTACTCACCTCGAGTAGCCTGCAATCAGTCAAGAAAAGCGGATCTGCGACAGTCAAAAAGAATGTGCAAGTGACGTCAGCCACGTCAATTCGAAAGGACTTTTCAGTTCTCGTATTTAAAGCACACACGTCTGTCCAAAGCAATTCTTATTTCACTCGGACCCGACTAAAGCCGACTCTAAACAAAAGGGGTCAACTGTTATAGTGTTTTCAATCACCTAAATACGACCCTTTGCTAGCAATGGATAGGTGTACATCTGCATGCAATGCCCCAATCAAGTTGGCGGTCGAAGACCAACCAGGGCGACAACTCAGCCGACTGACTGAGTCGATATTTCCTTATGTCGACTCAAAAAGCGGTATTTGTCGCCCCTTTTGTCGAAGACGACTCGCAATGAGCCCACTCGACCAACTACTCGACGCCTCGCGAGATCGACTCGAAAGACGTTACTTCTCGACGAAGCTAGAGGACAACTTGAATCTCGAGCCTCTCCCACTAACAACGTGTCAACGTCACATTTAAGGCTAGGCAGGCGCCATCATACCTCTAGCCGCGATAGTCTTCATGACTCATCAGACCACGTCAGCACCGCTATGCCTCCGATCATTTCCCATTTAATGCCGAGATGATCTCTTCTCCAGTCATTAGCTGATACTAATAAAGCAAGTGTTGACGCAGTCGCCATCCCATGCTTCTTCACCGCCATCCTATGCTCGACCACAATGACGGTTCTGCCCTTTTGGCACCACTATAAATACATGTACTATTCTAACATGAAGGATGTTCCAAAGGTTCACAAAATCTGATTTTCTCAGAGAGATCTACAAATTATACTACACACACACTAGAACTCTCACAGTTCTTTATTTTCTTACTCAAGTTCATCAGCTGACTTGATCGTCGGAGAAACCACGGGGGAATCAGTCTCCGTCCTCTCACGTGTTTCTATATGTGCAGACTTTTCAGCAACCTAACTCAGAACTGGATATTCAGGGAAGAAAACGACCTCTCATCAATCTCACACCTATCCAACCACGGATATAATTGACTGTATAATCATTTAACATCAACAAGTGTTGTTTCCATTAGAGGGAAAGAATTGCAATTTTCGCAGCTCTAAACTTCACCTGGGATTCAATCATAGGCATGAGGTGGACCTAAGTTTACCTCTAATTTTCTAGTTGGCAAATTAATAAAGCAGACAAAATGAAATTAATAAAGCAGACAAAATGAATCATCTACTTCACTGGAATATTCGAGAAGCATTCAAAACTTGTAAAGAGTATGTTGTAGGTTTTACTGTTTTAGTTAGGAAAAAAAAGGCTTAATTGCACTTAAATGCTCTATAGTTCTCCGACCTTGCACTTAAATGTCCTATACTTTCAAATCGAACAAAAATATCCCCTAAAATATTTAGGTGTTGTGAATAAATACCCTATGTTTAAATAAAAAAACTCAGGTAGCATAATCTTTTCTCTATATCACATAACAGCATAATCTTTTCTCTATATCACATAACAGAAGGTACTAAAGTGAAACTCTTAGCTACTACGAGGTATGTAAGTGATGTCATTTACAAACTTTAGGACATTTATATACAATATTGGGTAAACAATACGTCACTGACGTGCAACATTTTGTAACTTTGTGGCATTTATCTGCAAAATTTAAATACTTTCAAGAATTTTTTAATTCAATTTGAAAAAAAAAGATCACATAAGTGCAAGGTCGGGAAAACTATAGGGCACTTAAGTGCAAGTAAGCAGAAAAGAACTCTGAATGGGTAGAGACAGGAGAATCAACTAGGACAAAGTGACTTGGTTTGGAGTCATTGTATTCAAGGAGTCCACAAAATAATGAAATCGAAGGAAACTTTTACAGAAAACACAAGGACACTAGTTTCATCTTACCATCTATAACAATTGAACACTCATCATCCTCTCATTAAAAAGAAAAGGAAAAAAAAGAATAACATACTATATATAAAAAAGATAACAGAATGTGAATACAAAGAAATTAAAATCATCAAATGACAGCTGTGAGACCCCCCCTAACACAAACCAAACTCACTAGTTTCAAACAAGAGAAGAACACAAAAAAGGCGAAGGGCAGTATGACGATCACATTTGTACCATATTTCCAGCCAAAACTGATGATATTAGACGAAAGATGCGAATATGCTGAAAGTGGTATGCAAGTTAAAAAGCAATGTCAGCAGTCTCAAGAGACTTCTTCGCTTCCTTTGAGAGCTGACGCAAGCCAATCTGATGCACAGGTTTGAATCTCATCCTCAGCATTTAATTGGAAATGTATAGGAGTCACGGCAACCTGCAAAGAGTTAGATTTATAAGCTATGGCTGTGAGATAATAGGAGAAAAGAGTAAACGAGGGCTTTCAGACTCACAAAGCCTTCTTCTACGGCTCTGAAATTGTGATCTTCGTCTAAATCTTCGTGTTCGTTCTCCCCAAACTGCAAGGAAGCATATAGCTTTACTTTCCCCTTCTCTTTCTTTATTTTTATTTTATTTTATGTTTTATTATTATTATTATTGTTGTTGTTGTTGTTGCTTCTTCTTCTTCTTCTTCTTCTTCTTAAATTTCACAACATGATTTTGATTTTGATTTATTTATTTATTTATTTTATGTTTTTTTTTTTTTTTTTTTTGGGGGGGGGGGGGGTTTGGCTGGTTTAAGAGGCTATAAAAAGCCCTCAACTTTCATTGTTTCATATGGATGTT